AAAAAAAAAAAAAAAAAAAAAAAAGGGAACCGTTGGAGCTTTTCTTTTCTTTTTCTCTTATTTTTTTTTTTTTTTGGTATCTAGCTTTGTCACCCACGGTAGTGACTAATTGGAAAAGGGGTGTCCGTTTTCGTCTCCTGTCTAGGCTCTCGGAAAGCATCTAGTTTAGGCTAAGTGTGGGGTGTTAGTACGTAAATTATTAATGTTGCGATGATTTTTCTCCTTACTTGAGTACTGTATCGGTACATACCGGTACCGGTGCTCGTGTAGAAGTGCTAGGAGAGGGATTATTCTAGGAGTTGACTTAAATTAACTGTGCACCGGCTTCGCCGGGAGTGCTTGCACTGTACTCGTACGGCAAACCGAGTGACTTGGTGTGCTGTCTTGGCGGCTGGCATTTGTGATTCCTCACGTATACTTGTGGGACGACATGTGCGAAAGGGGCTACCTACCTGTTCAATGCTAAGTGATTACTGCTTTCAGGTAATTATACTTTACTGAGGGTGCATCTGCGAGCACAAGTACAGTACCTATCTGAGATACCTGCCAATATATGTACAAGTACCATAGTGTCAACCAGGTTCTTCTACATAGATTTCAACCTCCTCCAGGGTTTCGACGGCGAGAGTACCTAGGACCCATTCCAGCACCAATACGAGGGTCGCCTACGGTCTGTCCGTACTTCCATCCACCCCTCCCACCTATATAATCACTAACCTGTGCACAGATGTGCCTCTTACGTAGTAGGGTAGCTAGCTAGACATAGAATTCACCAAACCCTTTCCCTGAAGTCCGATCGGAAGCCTGACATTCCTAGCCTGGACCGGCAGCTGCGGGACAAACCGGGTCGGCTGCCTACTAGCCCAGCTCGAACCCCACCTCAACCCTCTCCATCGCATTGTCAAGACGCCGGACCACTTACAGGTATTTTGGGTGCTCCTCTGTGTCAGGGTACAACTTGTACATGATGGGATAATTATCAGAGCGAGTTTTCGGACCTTTTGTGGTATGGGGATGGGAACTGACTGTGAGGGATAACGAACCTTGGTATGCATAAGGTTGTTGCAGCGGTGTTGAGGTCGGGGCGGCGGTGGGTGGTTTTATGCCCGGATTGAGGTGAGGGATGGGCGGGGTGGTGGGGAAATGATTGGAACATATCTGAGGTGGGGGGCGTGACGTAGCTGTGCTACTGTAGAAGTGATCGGCATTGCGTTACGTAGCAGGTGTGGAGCCAGTTTCTCTTACCCCACGTTTCCTGGATTGGGCTCGAAAGCAGTGTACGATTACAGGAGCACTTGTGAGAGTAGTCATGGGTTTCACTTAAATAGGGGTCAACCTTTTTCCTGTTACTAGATAAGTTAGCATATTGTCTGCCTGAATCCTCGGCGTGGTTATTGAAAGGCGGTTTGACTACAACAGAGCGATGTGCCATTGACCTGGCAAGTGTGTTCCGCACCCAATGCTTTTGGCTTCGGGGATATTGCTCCCTGTTGATATCTCCCTCGGTGCGGCTACTGGGGAGGGGTCATCACTCAGGACCCTCGAGCGGTTGAACATTATTTCTGTTTCCCTATTCGGGTTGACTAGGACCCATCCGGCCCCGACCTATCGTATTCGGCATATACTTCACTCGGCTCCCAACCTACCGTATAGGACTGAGCTATCGTCCTCGCAAAAACATATTAGACCGGGCACGTTTGGCTTCAACTCTCGACCGCATACCCAGGCACTGGTTAATGCACCATTTGGGTGGCCGGATGCTGCACCTCCGGACTTCAGTTCTAAACCGGAAGTCCGGAAGAGAAATCTAAAGAGTCATGCTTTCTCTAGATCTGCCTAAACGAGTAAGCACGCAATGGGTCAGTTGAGCTATTTGCCTCCATTGCCCTCTCTAAAGTTAACCTAATATAGGATGCTGCGACTTGCCGTCTACCGCCTCACCAAGTGCACATGTACTTGAGGCGGGGCCTAAAACTATGGGCTGAGTGACAAATTATGACCCTCCTAGTCAACGAGAAAAAACAATCATCACGGTAGGGTGATATAGCCTTCTCTCTACCGTCCCCTCACGAAGTTTATAGTTATTGGGAAAGCGGGTTATTTACGCTATAATAAGATCCGACAAAGCCAGAAGCAGACACAAGGTTAGGACAAGTCCCTAGCTATCGGAAAAGCACCCTAAACGGAACTAAGAGACTGCTGCTCGGTACGTGTAGCGTAGATGCGGGAAGTGTTGGACGTAGGGTTCTCAAGTAATATCGGGCGCGTAGGGAGAATCGGTACAGTACTGGAAGGCTTAAGCGAGGGCTGGGGAGGGTCAGGCTCTTGATATTTGAGGCAGTTGGAACTGAGTAAGCTTCTTTGTTGTGAGGGATTCGAGAGGATTGGCTCGAGTGATGACACTAGTTGGATGGCTTCCCATTGGGGTGGCTTTCTGAATTTCAAAATCCCAATCAACGATAATACGGTGGGTGTCGCATTCTTATGGTGCTTGCATGAATTTGGCTGATAGCTTTTCAATAGATCAATGCAGTGTTTGAGAAATATATTACAGCAGTTTTTGGGTGTGGAGCTATAGCCGGCTGGGACTTAAATCCTTTGCTCTACGCCCCCTATCATACAAGAAGCCATTCATTGTTAGATGTTCAGGGAGGGATTGCTTCGAGTGGTGATGCTTAACTTAGAGGCTAGACTGCCACCCCCCCCCCACCTTCCCCCACTCAAGTACTATCACCCATCCTAACACTAGTTGTTGCTTCTCACTAACCAACCTACGAAGAATTCTATTCACATGAGCCTCAGTTTATTTCTTCCTAATCCCCACCTACGCGGTTTTGGATTTCTTTCAGCTTTAAAAAACTCTCGACCATCTGAGCAGGTTTGAAAAAAGAGACCCCCCTCTTATCTTAGACCAATTTAGTCGTAGACATTACCCATGGGTGGAGATCTGCCCGGAAGGCAATCCTGGGCTCCAAAAACAGGCGGCTTATTAACAGAGCTGGTGATAAAACATGGCTTGATATATGTTTAAGATAGGATTCTTTTTTAATTTCGCTGAGAATGACAAAGGTTTTAGCGACTCGATAGGGTTGTGTGGTAACACCGCATAGAGCACAAGCGAGTTTAGGGCTGAGATTGAGCTTGGCTTCCACGTTTATTTTTTATTTTTTCCACCGATAAATAATATTTCTGCCCTACTGGCAATCACGAAGGACACGCGCTGGTAGCCACAACATAAATCTGGATCCTCACCCCGTGCTGTCGGGAGCTTGACCGATTCGGGGGGTATATTTTGGGGGGATGTTCGAGACAGCCCCTCACTCGATGGTGTGATATCCTTGTCGAGATATCTAGGACCCACTCCTCATAGCGCTGTCGCTTTTGTTATGTGTTGCGATGTGTGCCTATGAAAGGGTTCTCGGGCCATCGCGGGGCTCAAACTCTAACCTCTTTAGGCGTTGGGGCACTTGTTCGGTGTCTAACTTACTTCAATGTATCGCACGATGGTCTCATGAGAGCTTTCCCGCCATCGGGAGCTATATTGCGAAAGGATACTCTAGCTGAGATATTAGTGTTGGAACACTCAAAGGCTCGTGTTGGCTTATGGCGCCGCCAGTCATCTTCCTTCGTGATCGCGAGTCCATCGCGGTTCGCTGAAAGACTTGGTATTGAAGGACGCGAGACTCCGGGGTTTTTGTGGATCGGGAGTGGTTTTGGGCAGAATTGCCGTGTTTTGTGCGTGGTAGGCTATTTCAGATGGGGCTTACTGCAAAGGTGAGCTGAATTAATTACTCCAGGAGGTTCATGGGGTTGGAGAGGGCATGGCAGAGAGCGGTTATGGGAGGATGAGGATTTTCGACTAGGTATTTTGTGATGAAAGGTGGAGAGTATTGGTTGGAGAGGGTGTGTGCAAAGTAATTCCATTACTCAATATCATGACCGCATTGGAGATGGGTGGCCCTAGGAGTCTCTATTTAACCCCCCCCCTCTCCTCTCGAACAGCACTTCTCTCTGGAGACCATCAGCGCCTCTTTCTAACTCACGATTCATCCCTTCTTTTCTTTCTCCTCGCTTTCTCCTCGCTCCCCGCATTCTCAGAGCATCCACCGCCAGGTCCCCAGAGTCCTTCCTCCACTTGCACCGCAGCCCCCCCCACTTAAAGGACCTCCGGTTCCTCAAACACCTCCGTTCTTTGTTTCTGACATTCCGCAACAAATAATGGCTCAACCACCCCCTGATTCCAAAAACCCGCCGCAGTTCATTGAACAGATATACCAGCAGATCAATGATCTCTTTGGGCAGAGTAGCAATGCGCTTTTCCAGATGGAAGTTGTAAGTTGTCATAGCATTGAGTGATTAGAGGTGACCGCAGAATTTTTCCTGACCTAACATAGCCCGGACGAGTGTTGGAAAAAGGGACATATGATTATGAGGGCAGCGACGGCAAAGATGCTATGCAAAGAAAGCCGGAGACTGTTGTCGATGCGGAATTCCGCCTTTCGGATGATGTCTACTCTTTGTCTCATCTTGTCTCTGTCCCGAAAGGCCCTAAGGTGGGCTAGGGTCGCGGGAATTCTCCGAACACAATTAACTCTAAATTTCAGGTTTCCACAACTTATTCCGATCTATTAGGGCTTCTAATCCCCTCTTCTGGAGACAATGATGTTCTGAGTAATAAGCTCCTCCCTGACCAGGTGAGCAGCATCACTCGTAGTGGGTGAAAATGGTCTGACGGTTTGAATTACCATAGGATGCCGTCTGTTCGTGGCTACTAGCTGAAGTCGACAACTGGGAACCTCCTGTTGATGATGTCCTCGCAGATCTCCCAACAGAATTTGGGGGATCGGGTGAGGTTGAGAAAGGGGTCATCCCTCCCAAGAGGGATATCCCAAGCAGTGAAGCGGACAGACCGAAAAAGCTGCCTCGTGTGGATCTTTATCAGAAATTGCTGGATGCGTATGAAGCAGAACGTTTCCGTTGGGCTGCGTTTAAACGCAATGCTCATCCGGGATTCTCAGACCCGGGGAAGGTTGACGAATACAACAGTGAGTGTCGACCTAATAGTTCCTAGGGGGGAGGCGATTAATGATAAAGAGTAGAAATGCTTGCTTTCTATGCACCTGTTGTCGACAAGAAGCTTGAAGCAATGTTTACTCTATTGCTTGTTCGCGGACAATGTAAGCCTAGATACCTCTTCCTTTAAAACTGAACGGGACTGATATTTTATAGATCACCGTGTGCGCCGCTATGTTGGTTATGTCGATATTGAATCTGCCTCCGAGATCTTGCTTGCTGCCAAAGAGAATCTCCGATCATCTGTATTCCGTAGTATCGACGATTCCCAGGACGTTTGGCCTGTGTATTTCACGCCGGCTAATTGGGCCAAATACTTGTCCACTGATTTCCACCCTCAAGATCTCCTATCCTCTGAAGAGACCGTCCTTGAGGAGATATTCGAGAAGGAGAAAGAGAGAGCCCTTCTTCTTTCAAGGCGAAACAATATCAAGGCGGCTGAGCAGGATATCCCAGCACTTGAGGCAGCAGAAGACACTGCTAGAAGAGCCTTTAGCGACGCTCAGGATAAGATCTACGCCCAATGGGCCGACTCGGCCGTCCAGGTGGTCAAGTTGTACTTCAAGGCCAAAGGAAACAATTCTGCCAGTAAAGACCCCAAGAAGAGTGGCCTCGGCAGCGCCGGGGAGCTCAACAGTGCTCTCACCAAGAACGGTCAATCGCCGATATCTGACCAGGACTTTGATGAATTGAAGGAGAACTTCAAGAAGGGGGTTGAGGCTGAGTCCAGACTACAGCTCGCCAGCGAGTCGCTCTCCCGGGCGCAGCTTGCAGCGGCGAGTGCCAGGGGGAAGGACAAGACCCTGGTCTTGAGCCAGCTCGATGAACAAATTCAATCCCTCAGTCTCGATATTGAATACCTCAGGCAGACTTTAGACACATCGGCCAACGCAACCCGGGTGCCCATTAAATCTACCGACGACGAGGGTAAAGACACTATGGATAATATTGAGCCGGAGACGAGGGGCAAAGTTCCACCCAGTATCGCACTGCCGAGTCAGGAACAAGGCGCATCTCTCTGGGAAGACGTGGTAATCAAACTCAAGGCCTCTAGTACCTTCGATTCCACCTTTGAATCAGCCTCCGTCAGTCGCATGGACTGGTCCGTGAACCTCTTCTTCGGGAGCGCCTCGGGCTCTGAATCCAGCTCTGATAGCGATTCAAGCGCCTACCACACTGCGATGAACACATCCATCGACATTGGCTTCCGCGCTATGAAGGTCGAGATCGGGCGTCCCTGGTTCAACTCGGGCATATTGCAGCGCAGCAATGAATACTACCATCTCGTTGGCTCCGGGACGAAAATAGCCCCTGCCCCCGGCCCGCTCCGTAAGGCACTGGACAACATCAACGGGGACCGCAACAACACCACCATCATCGCCAACGCAAACCGCTGCCTCCTCCCGTCCTGGCCAACCGCCTTCATCGTAGTCAAGGACGTGCACATAATCATGAAGTCGGACACCGCGTTCTCGACCAACGAGGTTAGCGACATGAAGCGGGCTATGAATGCTGGGGGAGGCATATTGTGCTTCCGCGTTAGCAAGTCGAGCAGTTCTTCCCAGCACAGGACTAAGTCTGCCATGACGCACGACGAGAAGAGTGTGTCGATCAAGATCCCCGGTCCACAGATTATCGGTTGGTTGAGCGAGTTTGCGCCTGAGGATAACACGCAGCCGGCGTATAAGTCGATTGGCACGAAGGAGTTGGAATTCTTGAAGGTGTCATCTGGCAAGCCTTGAGTAATTTTTCGTCCCTGGTTTTGTTTTAGCTTAGTTTTATCGCGGAGATTGAGGACTGCTGTTTGGTGAATTTTATGATATGTGGTATGATATGCATTCATGGAATTTTTTTTGGGGGGGGATTAACGAGCCCAAATTGGGCTGGCTTTGAGTCATGTCTGAGAGTCTGTGATCTATACTAGGAGTGAATTCCTTATATGACAGCAACCCCAGCCCTGCGATTCTGCCGACATCTCGTAAAAGAGTCCCCATTTCTATTTTCGGGTTGTTGATTACGGAATCCTGATCACTTAGGCCCGGTGGGCTGCGCCAGTGCACGCCCTGTCCGAGGTCTCAAAAACATCACCTGTTTCAAAAAAAAAGACCCAGTATCATTTTAGTTGTAGAGAGCCACATTCAATAATTTCTATAATCATTTATATCCTGACAAAATCTCCCCCTGGCACGTATGAAAAGCCAGCCTATTCTAGCCTAGCGTAGCATGGCACAAGTAGAATTCCTAACAAAGAGTCCGGGATGGCAGCATCCCGAGTGAGGCGCCATGACTGTTGATAACATTGTGAGTTCCTATCAGTTTTCATTTCATGAGGGTTCATGGCGAATTGAGAGTTACAAGCCTTTACTAAGACGGACCTGAGTTATTCGGGGTTTTATAAGAAGATTTATTGACTGAAAGAACGTCCGACCAGGCACAGCCGAAATAGATAACGAAGTAGCAGCACTCATATCCTCCTCCAACACCCTCCATATTCCATGACAAGATACAAAAGAGAAGAAAGCAAAGGAGAAGAAACAGGAAACAAAAACAGATGAATCCCTCTCGGTTATCCTACTCCCGCCTTTTTAAATCCTCCTCCTCCATCACGTCGAAAGATTAATAAACCTTATAGGCCAAAACCTTGAACCTCGGCGTAACAGTGTGCGTCCCGTCTCCGTTCCTGTACACCCTCCCGCTGCAATCGGTGTTGGCATAGAGCTCGAACGTGTCGGCGAAGGTAGACTCGGTGAAGGAAGCAGTTGTGACCGGAGAGCTCATATCGAAGTCGAGCTTTTTGCAATCTCGGTTGACGGTGCCGCTCATGCTTGCTGTGCGGCGGTCAGCCATTGTGAGGACTAGCCTCCAGGCGGAGGCGGTGGAGGTGAGGGCAGTGAGCAAGAGGAGGGTTGCTGGGAGTTGCATTTTTTGTTTGGTTGGAGGGGTGGAGTTTAAGTTAAAGTATGAAGAGTGGTTTTTGAGAGCGGTTTTGAAGAGTGGCTTTGGTGAGTATTTCAATTGATTTGGATGGTCCTGGGTGGTTGGTTGCTCGGATTGCTGGTGGTGAGGAAGGAGAGGGAGGGAGCGATAGGGAAGGGGTTTATATAACTTTTTGAAGATGCGCTCCTGCCACTAGGATTGTCAGTGGACGCATCGTAGGTGAGAATACGATATGTGATGTTGCTAAGTTAAGGAGTGAGTCTTCAGCCGGCGGTGCCTAACCCCCCCCCCCCAATCCCGTGTAGAGAGCTCCCGTATTCTAATTGTACTACAGGAATCTCTCCCTGTCCCCGATCTTCCAGAAAATTGGATAAGCTACCCAGCGCGCTTGCCATCACTCGGGGAAAAAGTAAGGATCTTCGTGAAGTCTGCCTTGCTCAACACCTCGTATTCGCAAATTTAGGCCCTAATTGTTACCCTTCGAGTATCCATGATGCTGGGTGAGCATCTAGAGGCGGACGCCCACGATCGGCGTGAAACAACTTCCAGAATTGGATACGGTTGAAGTTATTGTATTACAGATGGTGCCTATACGATGATTGTAGATGTAATTAGTGAGAATCAGGAATGACATGGCCCCTAGGGGTCCGAGGGGCAGATTGTCAGTAATTTAGAGCCAATCCTCTAAATTAAGTAATGATATTCTCTGCCTGCTTGCTTGTTTAGGGGGTTGGTTGTGGGGATTTTCTCAATATGTATACTAGATCCACTCTCAGAACTGTTTATGGGTAGATATGGTTTTCCATACTGGCGGTGCTGTACTTCCTAAACCTGGGAGATATCGTTTATTCGCTGAAGGGTAGAGGGTAGTTGGAAGCCCGGGAAAGAAAAAAAGGAGTGGGGGGACCAATTCTGCGGAGCCTCGTTTTCGCTAGAGAAACTTGGGCCGGTTTGCTTAGTTCTTCAGGGGATCAATTGATACAATTTGATCAGAAGTGTTTTCGACTCCAGCTTCGTATTCTGGCACCGGTTCAATGGAGGGCGAGACAGCCGGCACGAAAATATAACTTTCTCCAGGGAGCCCTCATAGAAGCTATTGCTAGGGGATCGTCCTCCCCCAATGGCATGGGAGAGAGGATAGGCGGTAGCTTAGTGGTTTGAGGCCTCGTAAAGATGATTCCGATGTTTTCTTGCTAAAAGCACGCCATTCGGAGATGCCCCCGACCTTGACCTACTCCAGATACCTGCACAATACACAATACGACATGAACTACGGACATCTTTTCTCAAATTGTGATTGAGTTGCAAGAGGGACGGTATCCCGCCTTAATAATAGAGACCGGAACCTCCAAAAGAGAGAGTGGGAGAAGGGGAGGGATCGATGGTACGCAGCAGGATTAGAGAGGCTAGTTTCGGTTCCCCCAAGCCTTGATTTCTCAGGGAGCTAGTCAATTGCGATTGGGGTTATCCCGGACATCAGATTGGCGCTTGAAATGTGCACTCGGATGTCTGCCATACTTTGGACTAACTGGTTCTAAGGAAACTTTTCACTAGCCAGGGCTGTGCTCTAGCAAATATACTCGAGTATCAAATATAGCAAGGTTGTGAGGCTACTATATCTGACGCGGCGATGTAATGTTTGGGGATTCCGGGGTGTTGTCAGTCTTGCCAAACATCGTATAGTCTAGCTAGAGCGATATTATTTGGAGAACCCAGGGGGTATTATTAGTAGTAAGGCCATCTCCTCCCTGGTTACCGGTAGCGGCCGACCAAATACGGTAGTCGAGAGTACGCGGGAGGAATGGGCACAATCTCCAGATCGGCATGACTAAACCTGCTCGCGGAGCCCCGAAACCTTTCCATTTGCTCTCGGGAGACCCACCGGTGATCGTCACTTGGTGGCCTTACGCAAGCCAAGCCCAAGATGCAACCCCGGAACGCACCATGACTTAAGTTAACCTAACCCCACCCACAGTGCAGCGTTAAAGGGGGGCAGAACACTGTATCATACCGTATCACACCCCAGCACAGCCACCCGTGCACCTCGTACTCTCTTGTTCGGGGACACAACCTTAGCTGCCTGCTCCAGGGACCGTAGCATGGGTCTGTTCTTATGGCGGCAAAACTAAGAATATCCGGAATCTATATTACAGCACTAGTAGGCCACGCACTTAGTACTTGAGTGCTCGTAGAGCCGCCCTTCTCTGAGACGTGATCATCGGACGGGATAAGCCCTACCCTGTATTGATATGGGCTGCTATCGTACTTGTGAAATGTGTGCGGTAAGAAAAGTTTTGCAGCAAATTTCTACACCTGTGTTACAGTACGGCAAAGGCGTTATTTGGGAGTTATTATCCCTCGTTCGCTGTACTAGCTACTGTTACTGATTGGTGGTGGGATACTTGGGGTATTCTGGGCGCCGGGCGAATACCGGTAGTTCAATCTCGCACATGGCTTACTTTCGAATTGGGATAGCGGTTTGTAACCAATCGCAAGGCAGTCGCACTTCGCTGGGAGAATCCGCGATGAAACAGTCCCTTCTGCCTTATCGGCACTGCCCGCCCGTGCACCCGCTTTATCTCTGGAGCCCAATATACCATTACTGTTAGCACTCGTATACTCGGGCAAATGGACCATGTGCTAGGTAGTCCGAACCCTCCCCTCTAGAAAAGTGGTGAAAGCACAGCAAATAACCAGCTTTCCGTAACGGATAAATCAGGCTTAGAGTTACCTTCTTGGCATAATATCCGTTTATCCGGGTTCTTCTGGTACTAGAGCCTGGTCCGGTGCTGGTGCCCTTAGCTGGGGTTCCTCCGGACTCGTTGCACAGGTACTGGTGCTGCACAAGCGCTCCTTTATTGCAATGTTAGTGGTGACCGGTGGTCAGGACCCATCACTGCAGGGGTCATTTCGGTAAGGTTAGGCTTTGGTATAATAGCTTGAGTTGGGGGAGGTCCGGCTACCTTGGTATTTGGTGATGAAGGGAACTGAGAAGAAAATGGCAACTTAAGTTAGGCTGGAAATCATACATTCTTGTGGGTTTTGCCAAGAAAAACCTGACCACCGACCACCCCTCATCACCCCCCTCCCCTGACCACTCGTCACTGACCATAGTCATGGTCAGGACCGGTCAATACATAGTCTGGTCAGCGCCAACACGTTTTATTGTGACGCACCTTCTCTGCTGATCCGGTCCACCTCCCTCGTAACGCCATCGAAGGTTCGGCTTCCTAGCCCAGTCCTCGTATTCGCCACACTACTAATTTAATGTGGGGTAGCCTGAGATAAGCGATTCAGGCACCCGGAGAATTAATACCCATAACAAGGGTTTCTGGAAGCAAGAGAAGAGCCACCAAATACCCCCGGGGTGTGTTAGGAGTCTTTCCACTCGTATTCTACGGTCGGATATCCGAACAGACTTGTGGTAGTGTTTGAATAATACGGCACGTCACCGCACCGCACCGTACAGGACTGACACCGCATTGCAAATTACGCTAAATTATACTAAGGAGATAAAATACCGGAAAATGGTATTCCCCACCTTAAGCTTTAATGCCGAGTAATCCTGTTTTCCTTCCTATATTTTTACGTCAGAAATTCTTAACAAAGGTGCGAATGCCAATACCCAAGCTTTTTCATAACGCTCGGCTCACGGCGCTTGGCAGGCTTGCGGTGCGTTGCGTACTGGTATCATATTGAATGGTACTGTACTGTACTCGTACCTTACCGTAAACTCACCGTTCGATCATGCCATGCTGTCCACTGTTATGGGTTCCACGAAATTCTCCGGTGAATTCTTCTCTTTAAAGGGGTCCTTTGACCTGCTGGGAAAGAAGCAGGACAGAGGGCGAAGCACCAAGGTGGAGAGGCCCATCGAGCCGGGTCTTTCCTGTTTCATTTTTCATGGACTTCTTTTTCTGTACTGCTGCTTCTCACGATGGGGTTGGGGAAGGGACTTTCTACCTGAGATACAGGTATGCCAGAACCCCACTAAGGGGCACCGGACCGGGAAAGGGTCTAACAACACTGTGCTCTGGTGAGAACTAATCGGACCATGTGCTAAGACGCCGGTGCTGCCCGTCCCGCCAAGGTCTGCCGTTTTTTCCTCTTTTCCAGAGGAGGAAACTTGGACCACCTAATTATCGGGAGCACGCTCCCCTTCGAGTTCTTCCGGCAATATCTAAGTGTACGGTAGGTAGGAACAGGGGCAATGAATGGGAGGGGTATGATAGAGATATTTAATGGGTGTTCCCGTTTTCCGCCCGCGAAGATAAACCCTCCAGCAACTAGAGCTTGGCCCATCCTATCTCGTCACGGCTGGATGTTTGTAAGATCCAGAGTTTGGGGGCACCCATTTGATTTTCAGGTTTAGGTTTCTGGAATGGTTTCTAAGGAATTTGCACAGCACCTGTCGGCTACCTACGTGCCCCATCGTGCCCGCGAGTGAACGACGATTCTTCACACGAACGATATTATTATGATACTTCGTTTCGGTAGGAATATCCGGAATTGAGATGCGCAGCTCAGACTGCGAAATACGCATAGTCTGCCTAAGGTTTCATTGCATTTACCGTTAGTACTAGTAGATCTGCTCAAATAAAGCTAGGCCAGGGACTGTGTATTTTGAGGACTTGCGCCCGTATCCGTATCCTCCCACATACCGCCCGACTCGAGTTTCCCACACCGGTAGACTATCAACATAGCGCCACACTAGGAGGCTGAAAAAAGGCCACTTCTAATTTTACCTTTCCATGTCGATCCTCTCTCTAATGGGCTATATATACCTAAGGTTGCGAGTAGTTAAGGATCTAAGGACGCAAAGTCTGGGTGTTATTCTGCCAATTAAGCTTGGGCTTGTATAAGTTAGGTGATTAAATTCAGTAGAACTGCTCTAGCCTCGTATAGTCTCCCTGGAAAAAGGCACTAGAGTTGGGGCTTCGCTCTATCGATAACCCCATCCGTCCAGCATTGAATAATGGAAAGCTCAACTTCCTCGATACCCGACAAGCCATTTGGGCTGGGAAAGTGCGGTCCGGAACCGCTTGTCTCGACGCTCTGCAGTCACTCGTGTGTTTTTACTCGTTACCATGCCGGTATCACATCCAAAGGGGATTTTCGGAGTTAAAGGAAATTAGTTTTCAGTGACAAGCAAGCGCCAAGTTGCATTTGGTTGCTTTATTGTGTTAGCCAATAACACCCCTACCATTCCGGTAGGATATTTGAGCTCACCAAACTATTGTATAGAATCTCAAAAACCATTAGTGTTTGTATTAGATCCTTTGCTTCTCTTAGAATCTCTTAAATAAGAATTAGGCCTGTTTGGCGCGCAATCATATAAAAAAATACCATTTTTCTTGCGCGCCAAACGGGGCCTTATTCAAATGCTATATGTTTATAACCATGCCACAAAATTTTCCAAATCTTGTTAACGGGTTTGATTATGTTGTTTAGCACTGTTGAGTGACCTTTATTTTCAGAACCTTTAGCTTTGAGTTGAGAATTACAAATGATCGGACATTTATGTGAGCATACAACTAGAGGTAAACTGCGGGAGTCTCAAGTATAAAAAAAATTGTGATATCCATCAAGAAACCTCAGTATCAAGTGCTATTTTACAAGGATGGTACGCAATTGCTTCTAGTGAGAATTGTAATTCTTCGGCATTCCTTCCTATTCCTCTTTTGCTTCTTATTCTGCTTCACGTACCACCTTGAAGTTCTGTGAGAGTTTGGTTACTCCGGTGGTTACGGACCTCTTGACTTCCGTATCTACCCCCCAAAATTGTACCATATTGTGAGCTAAGTTTACTGTTTTTGTGTGTACCAGGTTTACACAAAACAGGAAAGTAAACCAGGGAAAGTACAGTCGCACCTGGCTATCCCGGAGCTCCAAAATCGGAAGAATTTGTCCGGGACAGCGAAGGATCCGGGACAGCGGGTGAGGCTTTGGTGGGAAAAAAACTCAGAGTTCACAGAGATCCATACGGGACAGCGAGGTATCCGAATTATCGAGGTCCGGGACAGCGGGGTGTGACTGTACTCGTACAGGTTTTTCCGGTTGTTTTTCCGGGTTGTCTTAAATTTGAAAACCCCTGGCACAAGTTACCAAACTGCTGTGTAACTTGTTGTTTTCTCTCCTCCCATCACCTGCAACTCCCCAAGCCCGAAACTACCCGGGCTCAACCAAACACTGTTCCCGCCTTTTACCTCTCCATTCATAAGGCCAACAAACCTGATAAATACGCAAATCGTGTGAATGGCACCAACAAGCTTGGCTACTCCCCAAGTCGCCTCCTCCCTCTCTGCCGAGATGGACATGGCACACACTGGGCTGTGAGTTTCCACTTTCGGTAACCCGGTCCTCAGGGGCGGGTATCCTGCTAAGCTGCAGCATAACTAGTAATTTTTTAGGTTTTTAGAATTATGAGAAGCCTACATCACTGCCACCTAGTAATGAGGGAGGAAGGGGCAAGGCATGGTCAAGAGGATAATGTGAGGGTACTGTACATCAACCAGACGCTCGTATTAATGCATTATCTCCCGGGCAGAGGGAAACATCCGGAGCTCAGTGAAGGGATGCTTCACCACTTACTCCCCAAGCGAGCACCCCCTAGGGTTGACCGGAAAAATTCTGCTACATGATGACAGGGGTGTTAAGCTTATCTGTGGTACAAATCCTACTGACGGGGTGAAAGTTTTTCCCCTAAGATAATCGAGGCCTGACCATCCAAGAGCAAGCCTCAAACACCTCCGGAGGCAATGAGCCAGTTCCCACCAAGCCCCCTCTCTTTTTTTTTTGGAGTATCTTGCTCGAGAACTATACATTCAATTTTGAGAAACGAACTACCGGTGTCAAGATCGCAGTACCGGCATATATGCTCTTTATGGCTGCTCCAAGCCCCCGGTGCTAGATTCCGTGTCTTAAAGTGCTTATCTCATGCAAGAGAAGCTTGTGAAATGGCTATTACTATACCTTTCCGGCAAGCCTATACTGATCCACGGATCATTTCTTCCTTCCCCTCCCCCCATCGTACGGGCGTCGTACAAGCAGGGAAAATAACCCTCAAAGGTTGTTCGGTCAGCTATTCGTTCTTGTTGTGATATCGCTGGGGTTGTTAGGGACTTCCTGATAACCACATGCAAGAAGCAGTCGAGACGTATGTGAGGAGATACGAGGAATGGTATGAATTGGAAAGAATGTAGCCACCAGATGGACATCTGGTTGTGGGTTAGATTGGAATGAGGGATGGTATGGATTGGAAGGAATGTAGCCACCAGATGGATATCTGGTCGGTTTGGTTTTCTATAGTACTCGAGTATATAGTGGTCATCCACTTTGGTAATAGAAAGTAAGCGAATCAAGTCAAGAAAACGGTTAACAATTCTTGCTCACTCAAACGATCATATACCCCCCCACAAAAGTACCTAACTGAATTCTCCTCTCTACTCCACCTAAAACTCTCTTTTCTACTTCAACTCTTAACCCAGCAGCCCTACCGCAAAGAGGCAAGAGCCAGGGATAATAAGTTCTGAATATTTTTAGTCCAAAAGAAGCTATGGTGGCATAGAAGAAGGGACAACGGATAGACGTGGAGGAGAACAATAGACCAACAGATTCATTAGCCTAGCAAACGCCAAACTCGACAGGGCTGGCCTTTGCCCCCTGTTCTTTGACCCATATATCGCACCACCCCACCCTCCCGGGGCGCTGTGGCAAGGTTGACAAAACAGCTGGCTAGTGAATAGCTATGTCGGGAAAATGTGTTTCGGCACTACTGAGTTCCCTTTTAGATGCTAATACCCGGTAAATAAAGTGACCCTGTTGGTAGCTGTGTTGAGAATCACCATTACTCACTCGTCAGATGGACCGCTTGTATCATACTTCCTTCAGGCTTCAGGGCAATAGTCTCCCAGATATTTTCTATATTTCTTGGTTTGGCTCCTTCATGCGCTTCTCTACTCTCTTAGCGTATAGGAGAAAGGGTTCGAGGGAGTCTCATGGTTTACCTGGAATCTTATGGAAGACGGAAAGCAGGCACTGGGGATTTAGCTGATAGCCTGGCAAGAGCAGACTCAAATCTGCTATCGCAAAGAGAGGGCCAACTGGACAGAGAATAATGAGAGAAGTGTCATAGAGATCCCCGGGGGATTATATAGAGACGGCAGGGGAAGGGGATACATTAAGAGCTATCCTCGGAGCATTTTTTTCTTCATTTTTTTCAATTGTTTTAAAGCTTTAATTTCTGTGTAAAGCCGGTGATACTTATTACGATTCGAAGATCTAAAACAAACGCAGACCAACTCCATCCAATTTCCTTCAATCCTACATTCACTCTAGTCTGGAGCTAACCGCGTAATCCTCTCCCAAAACAAGAAAGGGAGTCAGAAAGGGAAAATAGGACCAGAAGACACTAGGGGGAAAAACTGTAATAACTAGTAGTCACTACCTTCCACGCCCCAGTCGGAGGTAACCCCGGACCCGTTCTGTGGATCAGGAAAGAAGAAACACATCCCGAGAGTGCTAGCCACCAGAGGGGAATCGTCCCCACAGCTGGGCGGGCCGAGGTGACGATGCACCAGCTGGAGGCAGTGCGATACCAGTCAGCGGGGCATCGCCTTGAACTTGCCCACCCCCAATTTTTCAAGCTCATCAAACCAGAGCCATCCATGCCCATATATAAACCTAGCTAGAATCACAGGCACAGTTACCAAAGCGATAGTGAGATATATTCCTGGGCTAGCAAATCCGCAGAGCTTCGCTCCTACTTAAATCGCTTCCTACAGTAGGAGTATTCCACTCGAAACCCGTTCCCCGATACTCCCATGTGGCGAGGTGGTTCGCCTATACTATCATACTCCCTTACGGTATTCTAGCCAACTTTCCCGTCGGGAAGCACGCGGGGGAGTATCTCAAAACTCAGACGCTGGTCGACTGTCTAATACTATTTGGAGCAATGGAGCTCAAATCGATCTTCTACGTCCGACTTGTTCGGAGATGGTGGGCCGTATCTTGGGGAGTAAGTAGGACCAG